TGCAGAGCCCATCAGGACATTGATGGCCTTAACAAATGGCGTGCGAGGAGCCATGCATGCTTGCTGAGTACTGTTATTAATCAAAGGGTAAAGGTAAAGTGGTTTCTATCTTCTGCAAAATAGAGTTAATTATGTCTCTTAAATTCAGTTTTAATCTCATATTCTTTGTTTCCTTCCATCTTTATTTTGGGAGGGATCCAAAGTAGAGGTTTGAAAGGTCTCCTAGTCTCCTTTGGTGTCTGGTAAATGATTAATCCGTTTTTGTATTTTGTTTATGTCTTACTGTTTAATGTCATTTGTTTCCAAAATCAACTTCTTGATGTGTTTGCAAAATTATTACCTTTCTCTTTGTTTTTTCCTCTCTTGTCCAAGATGGCCATAACATTCATTCAGTCACATTATTATAAATTAACTATAGTTAATTAGTTTTAGTTAGTTATAACTCTGGTTATTTATGTTGTGTAAAGCTTTTGGCTTTGACGGAACTCTGAACACAATTATTCAAAAATCCTCTTTTTAATTTTGGAAATGTCATTGACTTGATAGATAGTAGATAGGTTGTTTGGTTGTCCACTTAGGCTGCCAGATCCAAAATGTCATTGACTCGGCTAGATAGTAGATAGGTATATATTATTAGGTATAAATGAAGAATTTAATATTTGTAAGTGAATATAGATAAGTTATTTATATTTGTTTTCAAAATGAATGACGTAATTTTGGGTTGAAAAATTAAAAAATTATAATAAAAAAATTATTATAACTTTGAAATAAATTATAATTACAAAAATACCTTGATATCCGTCTCAAAACGACGTTATTTTGGACTTAATATAAATAAGTTATCTATCTTGACCGTAAAAAAAGCGAGTTCGAAATAAGAAAAAAATATTTTTATTTTACTATTTGCTTTCCTTTCTTATCAGTTTAGAGGTTATTTGACATCTGCTGTCCTCCGTCAATTAAAGATCATTGTCACTTTAAAGTTGACGTATCCACCAATCGTTTTCATTGTTGTATTGTCATTTTGTTGTAAAATTGACTAGTTTACGTCTTTGCTACATTTACCTTTGTTTATATTCAATATAAATCAGTTCAAATTAGGTGCCCGGTTTTGAGTTATAAACTTGTGATATCATACACCATTTCTTGGTGATAATAAGCAAAAAGTTGACTGAGAATTGAACACCTATCAATAAATGTACCCAGCTTGAGAGAACAATGAGTTGGGTGCCCTTTAGTTAATTAAAAGGTTTATTTTGCTTAACGTTATTAATCTTTTCCAGCTTTTGTTATCCTTTGGAGTCACACAGGTACACTCTTAGAAAATTGGACTAATGCCATTACTCGTTAAGCTTACACGAGTAAGGCTGTTCAGATTATTGTTGTAACAACGGTGTGGCTTTGTCCAAGTGAAAGGGGTTTCAAAAAACTTTAGTTCATTCATGTCATTTGTGTATTTGAGAAGACATTGTTATTTAAGTAGCAATGTTTGCATGTTGCACATTTATGTTGCACCGACATTAACTCAAAATATAGGATATGACATACATGTTAATTTTAAAAAATATTAAATTTTAACATGATAGAACATATTTTGATATTAAATAACATTTTTAATATATATAATATAATTTACATTTAATACATATAACAGTCCATAATAAGTCATATAATCAATCAAATATTTAAATTCCATAACATAAAGACAAAACAAAAATAATTTTTCATGCATTATTATTTTTTCACGTCAAATTCCATAACAGAAAATATTTAATTTATAAATTAATTTTTCATTTTTAGTTAAAATAATAAAATAAAATTTGAATCTGTCTGCATGAACATTGACCACATGTCCCAAAAACGTGTGTCGGATATGTGTTGGTGGCCGGCCGACACACATTTTTCAGGAAAAAAAAAATAGTGTGTCCGTATTTTATTGATAGACATGACCGGTTTTGGTCTTGCACTTTGAAATGTTTTCAAGACTTCCATAACTACCAAAACTATGGTTATCGAACTGTTCCAATTGAGTTTGCAACTAATGTGCAAACTTCATAATTTAGTACCTGTTTACTTAGTGCATAGTAAAATTCTCCAATCTTAACGCAAGATTTGATGACCAGCATATTCAATATCAGTTTTTTGCTTTCAGTATGTCACATTTCACATATAAACACATTTGTCTAAGAAAACATATAATTCAAAGAGGAATACTAATACTATTCACACAACTCAAAATGTAAAAGAAAGAAGTAAAAAAAAGAGTTGTCTATGACTGTGAACTTCTGAACTATTGATTGTTTATCAAATCGACTATCTGCACAATTAATCATTTTTCTTTTCCTTTCCCTTTAGCTGTGTGGCTAGCTTTACTAATTCACATGGTAGTGGGAGTTGAGACTATTGTTCCTGCCCAGTTTACACACGCAACTTTTTTAGTCTTTATACTTCTATAAGGATGCTATGAGTAATACACTTTAAGCAAACAAGGTCAAGTAATAATTGTGCAGTAATTTGTTAATATGACTCTCATGCTGGCCATTGGTTTCAATTGTTACATGAATTCAGTTCATTGACAAAGACGTAAAGCATCAAGTCTTTGTCAGTGAGTAATGCTGACTAAATTAATTGGAAATGTTAATGGGTGAATTATAAAATTCTATGGCAAAATAGTTTTATATTCATTTTGAGCCTTTTTTTTTTTTTTTTTACACGGAAAAAACAGATTTAGGTGGCAGAAAATAACGATGGAAAAGAGAATTCAATGAAATAAATCCAGGTTCCATCAGCATTACAAAACAATGGACCCGTTTACTGTGAAAACCGTGGGCTTAGCCCGATCTTCAACAACCGGCCTCGTAGAATATGGATAGTCCTCTTCTCAGTGGATACAAAAATAATAATATAGGATTTTGCAGCCAAAAATAATAATAATAATAAGGGTTCGTTTTTTCTGCAGTTATCTGCCGTAAGTCCAATACGATATCGTTTTGGGGCAGAAATCATGTTGTTTTTATAATTTTAATTTATTTCAGGGTTATAATAGTCTTTATATTTATAATTTTTTAAGATTTTATTATTAATACGACGTCGTTTTGAAAATAAATGCAGATAACTTATCTGCAGTAACTGCAGAAACATTTTTTCCTAATAATAATATAGTGTTTCTATCTATTGCATGGCCTATTGGCCATATAAGGATGGCAATGAATGAGTATGTAAATTCTGTATTTTATTTAAGGAATTTGCATCTATCATATTACATGACATCAAAAAGTTTCCTACACACACAATATTTTGTGGAGTCCACATTTTTTAAAGCAAAAAAAAAATTAAAGCACGCAAAACGAATCTCTATAACATTACACAATCACTTTTTCTACAACATAACCCTTATAAAATCCTTTATTTAATGATTTTATTATAATTCAGTGTAGTTTGAAGCATTCATTTTCTGTAATTGGATAAAAGCTAAAATTTAATACAAAACTTCTAACAATTATTATATTTCTCTCTCACATACACGTATATATACTATTTAAATATTATAAAAAATCAAAGAATAAATTGTGAGATAAATATAGTATCTAAACTTTACAAACTAAAAGAGTTCTTCATAATTAATTACTATTTAAATTTAAATAGTAATTAATTATGCGAATCCAAAAAGACAGTAATCCATACAAAATATTAGGGTAAAAATAATTAAAACAAGAACGGCCAAAAATGTAACAACCCAAAATATTAGGGTAAAAATTAAAATTAAATAATTAGTTACAAACATGTCATTGCATGCCATTTGAATGGATAAACTAGAATGTTTTAGAACACAGGGTAAATGGGTTAGTACGGCCTATAGGAGTCTATGGCTTAAATTATATTAGATCAGACTTGTCCTATTACAAATAATAAAATAAAATATACCTAGGTTTTTAAATAAATCTATTTAGTAAACAGGTCATAGGTTTTTTTATACATGCTAGGCCTATAAGCTTATAGATCGGCATATATCATATTATTTATTTTAAATTAAATAAATAATTATTATTTTAATAATTTAAAATAATAAAGTAATATTATTTTAGTTATTCTTTTAATTATTGAATGTTTAATAGGCTTAAACAGACTAACAAGCTTAGGCTAAAGCTTTTATTTTTTAAATATAGGTCAAACCATACTTGTAATTTGGGGTCTACACAGGCTAATAGGCCAGGCTAGATCCTATATTTTTTACACAGACCTGATCTATTTAAGTCAAAGCCTAACCTATTTGCACCCTAATCATAGAATACTCATGTTGTCTCAAAATAACCATAAAAACTCAGCAAAATGGTAAATTAAAAAGTTTGTTAATGAAAAATTTAACGGTGGATATATTTTAAAAATTAATAATATTTATTATGTCATATTTATTAATTCCTAATAAATTATAACCGTTAGATTGATGGAAATTAACGGTGATTAAATTGGTTGTAAGAGTTGTAAATTTTTTTGGTGGTAAGTGGATCCTTCTCCATATTTTTAGGAATTAATAAATGTGACATAATAAATATTATTAATTTTCAATAAATTATAACCGTAAGATTACGGAAATCAACGGTGATTAAATTGGTTGTAAAAGTTACAAACTTTTTTGGTGGTAGGTGAATCCGTTCCCATCAAATATCGGAAACATTAATTTCGAATAATAATTAATATAATGGACTTTCATATAACACTAAATAATAATAGGAAAAAGTATTTGTCATTTAAAATGACATAAAGTTATGTCATTTTAAGAGAGAGACAAACACAGAAAAAAATTTTTATTTAAATTTTAAATTAAAAAAAATCACCCACTTTCTCTCTCCCATGATTTCTATTTTTTTGTGTCTATCTCTCTCATAAAATAACATAATTTATCTCATTTAAAATAATAAATACCAAACCCATAATAATAATAATAAATAAAGCATTGGACCTTAGCACTAGCAGTTAGCATAATCTTCCCATCCTCATGAAAAGTGTTTCTCTCCGCCTCGGTGGAGATTTACGCAATCGCATTGTGCCTGCCAACTAACAAAACCACTCTTTCTCTGTCTTTCTCTCTCTGTTTATTTCTATTCTTTATTTCTACGCAATCATTCCTTGTTTTGATAACACCCTTTCGCCTCTTAACTTTTCTGCTCCAAATTTTGGATTCATCTTTCTTTATATTTTTTCTTTGTTTTTTTTTTTAATATTGTATTTTGCGCATTCGTTCTTAAGCTTTGTCATTTCCAAAAGGCAAGAAAAACGGTGCAAAGGAAAGACTACCACCGGTTTGCGGAGATTCGATCCCAAACAAAACACACCAAAACCTATTCTCCCTCAAATTAGGGTTTCCCCCTTCTTCTTTTTTTTTTCTTCCTCTGATTGCAATTCCATCATGGGCAACATCTCTAGCAGCGGCGGTAACAACCGTCGCCGACACGGTGGCGGTTCCAGGCGGAGTCATCCGCCGCCCCCTCCGCCGGTGACGCCGCAGCCCGAAATCACGGCCAATCCATTTGTGTACACCGGCGCTGCACCGTACCCGAACCCTGCACTGCATTACCCACAATACCCTTACCCAGGTTACTATCCCTCGATGCCTCTGCCCCATCATCCTCACCATCATCATCATCATCATCCACATCCACATCCACACATGGACCCAGCGTGGCGTTGCCCTTGTGGACCTGCCATGCCTTCGCCTGCACCCTTTGTTGAGCATCAAAAGGCCGTTACCATAAGGAACGATGTCAATATCAAGAAGGAGACCCTTAGGGTTGAACCTGATGAGGAAAACCCTGGTCACTTCCTTGTGTCATTTACATTTGATGCCATGGTTTCTGGGAGGTAAATTTCATTTTCCCCTTGTTCTTAAATGTAAATCATTAAATTATATATATGTTGTCGTTCATTTTGCTCAAAGAAGATATTGTCATGTCTAAGGTTTTCGGATGCTGTTAGTGTTTGCTTGTGGAGGTGTACAGGATTTAATTGCTCATTTTGTTTCTCTTGATTCAGCAAAGGCCTGTTATTGTATTGTTGTGCTCAATCTATTGAGCTACCATGGTTGCTTGACTTTTTTGGACTGTTGTGCTAACTTTTTTCGAAGTTAAGTTACCTCACCAGCTTGTGATTGTATGGTTACTAGTCAGCTGAACATGTGTTGCTGTATTTGGCATTGTAAGCTATGAAAAGGACGTATGACATAAAGGTGTGCAATTAGTATTGACCGGAGAAAAAATGTAGATTTAAAGGTAGCTTCATTAAATGAGTTGAGGATCTGGATAGCTCATTGGATTTTTCTGTGGGGCTGAGTAGATATAGTTTTTGTTGAATGAGTATCTTCATTTGTAGGTTGTTGTCATTTACTGGTCAAGCAAATCTTTGTGTTTCTACTTTCTAGGGTTCAATTACTTATCTTGCGGGTGGTTTACAATTACTAGCATAATCTTCTTTAATTTTGAAATCATTCCCTTTTATACCCTTACTATTATTCATTCAAATTTGAATTCTAATTTGGCAGTTTGGGAAATAGAATAGTTGGAAGACTTTGGTGCTTCTTTCATTTATCCAGTGTTGTTAAAAGAATCGCGATTTTACACGTAGGATCCTACGATCCTACGATTTTTGGTGTCTTAGCAATTCAGATCGCAAGAAAAAATGGCATTCTGGTAGGATCGTGTAGGATCGCCTTGCAAACTCGTAGAATTGTTCCGTTTCTGGTCCTTTATTAGGAGACCCAAAATGCCCAAATTTTAAACCCAGTAACCCATGACCCGGAAAATACCCATGACCCAAAAAACCAAAAGCCCCAAGTCAGAAAGTCCCTAAACGGCTATATTTCCTCCTCACCTTCTTGCCCGAAACAGAGCATTCTTGCTACAGACGATTGCTAGTCTGCTACTGCTTGCCATCTCCCTCTTCTTGCAACGAACGACTGTGGCTGTGACTGGACGGTGGCTCTTCTGAGTTCTTCCATCTCCCTGTCCAAAACAACCTTCTCTTCCTCTCTTTCTTGCGCAAACGAAAAGTTGCTTCACTCTGCCATTCTTCGTAACTTTGTTCAAGTGAAGTGACTATTGGGATTTGTTTTGAATGAAGGGAATATTATTTTTTAATGCTTCGGTTTGTAAAGCATTGTGTTGAAATCATTCTGACCATAAATATATTTTATTTGGAACAATGACCAAAATTCCACTTTTTGGCAAAAATTTTACCCAAATGCCACGCGAAAATATTTTTTACCAGACTGCCACGTGGCGTAGTTCGCTACGACTGGTAGCAAATTATGTTCGCCAATGATTTTGTGACACGTGGCACACTTTCGCAAGAAAACGCTAACGTGTCATAATTCGCTACCAGTGGTAGCGAATTTGGTTTGCAATATGGTCACGTGTCACAAAATCATTGGCCATGAAATTCGCTACCAGTGGTAGCGAATTATGACACGTGGCAGTATGGTAAAAAGTACTGTTCGCGTGGCGTTTGGATAAAAAATTTATCAAAAAATGACATTTTGGTCACTGTTCCATTTTATTTGGTGTCTTCTATTTTTTTAATAAAATATTTTATTATAATTTATTTTATTTTATTCCATTCTAACCATAACTATGTTTGAAACCTTTTTGTTTTAAATGATTCTGCCAATATTTTAATTTTTTTAATATTTCTGTTTGTAAAGCATTTTGTATGGGTTTTACAAATGATGTAAGTTATTTTATATATGGATTTAACATTTCTCCCTTTAATTTTTTTTTTCTACTGCACTCACATAAAATTGAGGGGATCCCACAAACTTTTTCTCTCTTTTCTCTTCGTAATGGACCCACTCACTTTTATGTGAGTGTGGCCGAGAAAAAATTTCTACATCAAAAGCAGAATCATTTTTCCCTTTATATGTATACATTTTGTATGTTATGAGTTATGAGTCTTACGACTTTAAGTTATGTTATGAGTTTTACAATTGATATAAGTTATTTTACATGTGTGTGTATATATATATATATATATGGTTGAATATAATTTTGTATCATAGGGATTAAGATCGTGTCGATCCCACGATTTACGATCCTACCACCCCCTACCGATCCTGCATAGGATCTCGATCTTGACAACATTGCATTTATTGCAGTTCTAAAAATCATGGCTAAGATAGTAGCAAAAAAACGGTGACTTTAATATTTCAATGTATATATAGAAGCAATACCTACTCTTTCTTTGTTAACTATCTGAATACGGAATAGTTTATTCAATGCATGTTTTACTATGCTTTTTGCCAACGTTGCATAAGAATTTTTTTATGCATGAGAAAATGTTGCTAAATTATTCTCATTATTTATGAGTACTTGTTGCTTTATTATATTTAGGAGCATTATATAAGCTGTAAGCAGCTTAATGCATGACAGTTTTGTTGCATGTTTGAATATTTGATACTTAGCTTTTAAGTGCTAGCTTCCGTTTGTGTGGGGTTCTGCCATCAAATCTTGATGATGATTATGAATGTGGACATTTTGTGCTATAGTTCTTCATTTACTTGTTCTAAAGATTTTGTTTCTTTTTATCTCTTTAACAGCATCACCATATTTTTCTTTGCAAAAGAAGTTGAAGGCTGCAACCTCGCACCAATGAAGGAAAATCATCTTCCACCTGTGAGTGTGGATTTCCAGCAAGGTCTTGGCCAGAAGTTTAGACAGCCAGCTGGAACTGGTATTAATTTTTCAATGTTTGACGAGTCAGAGTTATTGAAAGTGGGTGACATGGATGTTTACCCTCTAGCAGTGAAGGCAGATGCTTCCTCTGGTAATCAGGATGGATCAAGTGAAACCTCAACATCTAGTAACACAAACTCTCAGATAACCCAAGCGGTGTTTGAGAAGGACAAAGGAGAATTCCGGGTGAAAGTTGTTAAGCAGATCTTGTGGGTAAATGGAATGAGGTATGAGCTGCACGAAATATATGGTATTGGAAATTCAGTGGAGAGTGGCTTGGATGAGAATGACCAAGGAAAAGAGTGCGTCATCTGCTTGTCGGAGCCTCGTGATACAATTGTCTACCCCTGCCGACATATGGTATGTGCAGTTTCCCTTTTTGGAATGAATCGTTCTTTGATTAGTTGATAGAAAGATGCTGATGTTAGCCATCAATATTATAATCGACCTTAGGAAATATCTTTCTTTTTTTGCCTCGTTAATCTTTCCCTTCTTTTTCTAAACTTATTTAGTCTGTCACCTTTCACTCTTAGGCTATTAGCAAATTGATGATCATTTAGCCAAATTTAACTGTTGAAAACTACTCATTTTGTTCTTGAGTCCTTGACATGCTTTGGCGGGTTTCCTTTTCCTTTTCCAGTGCATGTGTAGCGGATGTGCAAAGGTTTTGAGGTTTCAGACAAACAAATGCCCAATTTGCAGACAACCAGTTGAGAGACTTTGGGAGATAAAGGTAGGGTCTGAGGAGTGAAGAAGATAAATTGTTGGTTCGTCAAGCTTCCTGTACAGCCCAACTGTTATACTTCAATACTTCTCCCTGTTTCCTTCTTCTTATCATGGTTTCCCCTCCCTTTTCTGTTTTTCCAATAATCAGAAAAACAAGGAAGGAAAATGGAATTTGTATATGACATGCGGTATAACATGAACAACAGGCTGGCATTGCACATGGCTTGTGCAAGACAATGCCTCCAACGAGCTTGTTTGTCTTTGCTTCTAAATGGCTTCCCTTATAAATATACTTAATTATGTATGTTTCTATTCGGATGACATCATTTTATTTTATTTTGAATTGAACTTTTAAAGAATGATTGATATCAGTGATCAATATTTCAATATTTTGTCGGCTGTTATATGTAAAAGTTTCCAGTCCTACATAGTACGGATAAATAAAGGAATAGAGAACTAGGGGCAGAAAAGGGAATTGTGCTAAATAATCATGCTTTCGAAGCATTCGGGTGTGGGAAGATAGGGGGAAAACGTTTAGGAGCATGGATAATGGGAGGGAAGGATCCTGGTGTAAAGTGGATTTGGGAGTGGATATTCTGTGTATTAATTAAATTGATTATGTTATACATGATAATTATAATTATATAAAAGTGAATCAATGGTGATTAGAGAATAGAAAAAAATATTGAAATAAATAATTATAAAATAATTGTTGTTAATTAATTTTTGTATGATTAGGATTTCCGCATATGATATAATTTTATATTAAATAAAACATGAGGATTTAGAGTTCTGCTTAGAGAAAGCATAGAAGTCTATCGTTTTCTGTTTGTGAGTGTGGGAGTGTTGTTTCTGGGATTCTGATCTCTATACTTGGAAATTGTTCGGATTTTCTGTAATCAAATACATAATTACTTATCAGGGCACTCCTATTTGCTTTTAGACAGCCATTTTTAAAGCAGGGATTATCGCATGCTACAATTTAGGACGCTGTCAGTTGTTACATGTCAAAAGTAGGAGCGAATTTTCTGTTTCGGGAACACCAAAACTAGGTGCTTCTTTCTCACAAATGAAGAGGATAAAAAGAAAAATGAAAATGCCTTCCTTAACGGAAATTTTTTAAATATATCTGATCTACCCACTTGGTACTTGGGTACATCATTTTATCAAATGAGATTTTTTTTTTTTTTTCATTTTTATCCTTATTTTTTATTATTTCATTTCATATTCCAAAATTTTATCTCTTTTGACAGAAGTGTACGTATATCTGGTGCACAGAAGGTTTTCTCCTACACAACTAACAAAAAAAGGAAATGGGGAAAAAAACATGGATAAGATGAGGAAGAAAAAAATTTGTTTCTGAGAGAACCACCAAAATTTTGAATGATTATACAATTTTTTTTTTCACAAGGTGAATTGAATGGATGTTCACTTTCTCTGTAATACAGTAAAATTAGAAATTAAGTTGACGAGAACGAGGAACCCTTTTAGGCTTAGGTTGCCTTGACGGATGTTTTGTGCTTTTGCAGCAGGTTGCCTTTTCATTTCCAAGTTTCAACAATAATTCCACAATGTTTTGTCACTGATTGTGATGAACAACTAGGTGAAGTCATCATATAAAATGGTCATACATCAATGAGACTAAAAACGAATGAAACTGACCTACATCCTGTTTAAATTCATCAAGCGACAGGTTAAACCACCGAATTCAGATATTTGTATCATTTTCAATCAAATTCTTATTATGGTCATGCGATGACCTGTCCTTTAACATGGAAAATTCAGAAAAAGTTAAAATCATATAAGCTGCAGGTCAAATTTTTTTTGATGTTGTTATGGATTAAGGTCCATATCTCAACAACTTAACAAGCATATCAGTTATGGATAAGATGATTAAAGACTCAATTCCAACAATAGGACAACGCATCACAACAATCTCATTACAGATTAAGTGGAGGCCCAACTAGATAACTCATTATAAATAGGAGTCATACTCATCACGTACATATTTTTTGGCTCATTTTTACTTTTGTTATTACTCTGCACACATACCAATCTTCGCTAACATCATATCATTCAGTGCATAGTGATCTATTTATCCTTATGGAATCTCTCTCATATAAATCCTTGTGACACCTTTTGGTTTGCAACCTCATCCCAGGACCACTTAGTCGATGAAACTCTCACAAAACAGTGTGGAGCAAGATTAGAAATCTTACGTTATTTTGCTATGAGTCAGGTGAATACCTAGAAGGAGGAGCACTGTTATGTGTAAATCACTTTTGCTAATGATCCCTTCAGCCATGCTCTTTTGAGAAGACAAACATAATTTTCTTGAGTTTTTAATTCGAGAATTTCTTAGTATAACTTGGTGTAAAAAGTCTTTGCTCCATATTACCTAGGATTTAATCCAAGTCACTAGTGCATAACGATCTATTTATCCTTATGAAATCTCTCTCATAGATATTGTAAGTGTATAAATTCAATATTGAGTTATCACCCATCGCGTGACTATTCATAGTCTCCCCGGACATGTCAATGTCAATGTCTGGTACTTAGACATCTTGGTACATTTCCGTGATGTCCTTTGGATTGTCTTGCAAGTGTATGTAATGGATGTGCGTGCAAGCATCAAAAGCGAAGTTGGAAGTGGCAATGGCCACTGTCTACTTTCTTAACCGTGGCAAAGATTTGGTTTGGCCAAGGTATTAGATTGGCAAAACATTTGTAACATTTAACTTGCAGCTATTTTTTTTCTAAATAAGAATAAGAAATTTCTCTTTCCAACACTAAAATTGTTATTAAAATGGGAGAAAATAACAAGTTGTCATTACCAGAAAAAATGGGAGAAAATAATAAGTTGTCATTATAACTATCAAAATATGGAAAAACATTTTTTCTTTTTAAAGGAGAAATTTTTTCTCATGTTAGTAACTCATAGCATAAGTGAGTCTCACCTTCAAACTTTTTCTCTCTCCACTATTTTGTGGGCCCGACTTATATTATGAGTCACTAACATGAGAAAAATTTTCTCCTTTAAAAGGAGAAAATGTTTTCCCTTAAAATATACATGTTAGAGACATGTTATTACTATAATTTCTTTGAAAACATACTTTTTGACAACAGTTTTTATAATTTAATTACATCTCACACTTGCTTTTAATTATTAAAAAAATATAAGACATGATATAAAAAGTGTGATATTAGTAGTATTCTTCTCGTATATAATAATAGGAGTTTGATTTTCTCACGTTGTATGATAATTTAATTTTCATGTTGTGACTCAATTAGTGGTGTTATTAAAAAAAAGAAAAATTTTACACGCAAATCGAAAGATCGCAACATGATGCAACATGAGAAAATATTTTTTCATAATAATAATGGGAAAACATTTTCTTCTTTTAAAGGAGAAAATTTTTCTCCTACTAATTACTTATGGTATAAGTGGGTTCCACCTTGATTTTTTTTTTTTTTTTCTCTTCACATTTTGTAAACTCCAATTATATTATGAGTCGAGAAAAATTTTCTCCATGAAAATGATTCCCCAATAACAATATATGGTAAAATTTCGCAGCATTTGTTAGAACGGGGAACTGAAAAATAGACGGGTCACTGTCATTTGGCATAATACCCAGCTATGGTAAAATTATAGAAATGTAAGCAAAATACTTTTCTACACTCTGTATCGACCCTTTTCTACATTCAGTATCGACCCTTTTGATATGCATCCTCTATTCAACGAGGAGTTAGGGGATATTCCAAGAATAAGGTGGTCTGAGAAGTTGAATATTGATATCTCCAAATTTATAAAAAAAAAAAAAAATTATGCAAATCTCAACAAGTTATCTTGAATTTTTCTCCCATTTCTCGAGAAACTAAATAGATACATGTTAATATACATGTAATTCCAAACTTCCTGCAGGCTAGTGCATATTTCCTCATAATATGTTATGGAATAGTTCTACCTTAAATTGGCAATTACATTTAAAAATTTATAAATGACCCTCTAATTATAAATTTATAACTGAATATTTTCATGATTGAACATCTAGTCTTTATTACGCTGACCTAGGTGACAGTTGATCCAATTGACACAACACAGCTTTTGTCTGTTGACGTAGCAATTAGATCGACATCCATATTATAGAAAGTAAACTGAAAATTAAGCCAAGTATAGAGGGCACAGCCACATTGAAAATTAAGATTTTTAATAATATTTTGGTTTTTTAATAAAATATAGCAATGCTTCAGAATTATAAACAATATACAATGAATCTAAAAAAACTTCATTTTATATTGTTTTTCGTGGTATGGCTACGATTTGATGGATCAAGTATGGCAATGATTCTTGATCCAATATAAAAATTGGTTCGTCCTTTTTTAAATTTGTTAGGAATTTACGTTTGTCACTAAAACCCCAACCAATCACCCAAAAATAACCCCCGAACTTTTGAAAAAGAAGAAGAAGAAGAAGCATCATAACACATATGTTATTAGCAAACGAGAATGACAATGGTTGCTTATTTAGTATTAAGCGCCCAACCATAAAGCACTGGGATGTTCATAGCATCCTACATACTCTTGACAGACAACAGACAACAATACACGAAATAATTGGACTATAGTCCAATACATCAAACGCAGAGAAGTTCTTGTACACACACAGAATTTCTCTTACACCATAATCATAAAAGATTTAGCACCTAAGGTCGTTGATGAAATTTAGTCTCCCCACCATTGATGGACATAGACGCCATTGCTTCTGAGACCCTTGTAAATATCCATGCAATTTTCCTTGCTAGTCAAAGTTTTATCATCACCTCCCTTCTCTGGGCATCTGAGAAACAACTCATCAACAAAGCATATAGCTCCACTGTCAAATATATCCGAGAGGAACTTGAGTTCAACTTTTCCTGCATTCATCTTCAGGACCACAAAATCTGCATATTGCACAGTTTCTTTGAACCAGGCAAGGAAATCAAACTCTTCCTCCCCAAGAAAAGGATCCAGGTCTCCATCTGTACCAAGCTTGGCCGTGACCTTACCAGCCAATCCAGGATGATAAACAAAGGTGATGCCAGGTCGCTTCACATAGGATAACAGAATGGAAGTGTTGTAGTGAACAAAATAGACATTGAAAGCTTTCTGATCAATGGGATATGATGGCATGAACCAATCACTGACATTTGCATTCAGGAGCTCCCCTACCCCAATATCAATATACACCATCCGCTTCCTAGCAGAAACATCCACAAACTTAGGCAAATAGGGAATCCTTTTCTCATCCTCAGGATGTGGTTTTTCACCAACAAGAGGTTCCATCAGCTCTATGAGAGGTTTGGTGAAAGTGACACTTGGACAATCTGCTGGTAAACTATACTGATAGAAGGAACAAGCATTTTGAGATCTTTTCTTGAAAACCACAAGGTTAAGTTCATTGATTGAACCAACGTGCACAACGCTGGAAGATCTCAATAAAGAGGACACTGGGGTAGCTGACCTTATCAAATCATTGATTTGTGAACCAGTGTTACCCACAAGAAGGGCACCTATTCCATTAGGCTTAAGGATGCGTTCAACCTCAAGCACAAGCAATGCAGGGACTGAAACCTTGTCTAGGTCCCTTGACAATACGAAATCGAATGAACCATCCTGGTAATCAAACTCGTACACGATCTTCCTCTGCTTGAGGGAGAAAAATCGGTGTCTGTGGACACCACTGACACTGGAGAATCCCAACTGTTTCATTGCCACGATGGCCATTGAGGACCCTTCTCCAATGCAAAGGCTTTTGGCTCCACAGTCCAAAAACTGCTTACCCATTAGCTCATTGACCACGTTCACCGTCAAGTTCACGTCTTTGACGCAATTCACGGAGCCCCAGAATGTGGTGAAGATATGGCTCCGAAACAAGTAGGAACCAGGGCTCAAAGTGACGTTTCCGAAACGCGAATCGCATTGAATATTGGTGGTCATCATGGGAGCCAAAGATCCCGAATCGAATATCGATATAATGCGGATCAGAAAAACGACGGAAATTGCAGAGGCGAGTAAGATTGAACGAAAGAACACGCGCCTCGCTATGGACCCATTAAGGATCTTGAATTTCAGGGCCTTAGTGTCCATGAAATTCTCAAGTTCAATTCAAGTACGAGAATGTTTTGTCAAAAAGACAGGAACTTTGTCGAACAAAGATTGAGAGAGTGAAAAATTGAAAGCCGGAGAGGGAGAAAGGAGTTGAGGAATTAGCGAGTGCAAAACCTGGAGGAAGTATGATTGCCACCCACGAGGACACCCATTGAATTTTGGAAGCTTAACCAGACCCTCCTTGGAATCCTTTTCTGTGTTGGCTCGTACCAGCAGCCCCCACCCATGTTGGATGGGTTGAAACCCCTCATTGCTCCCACCAGATTATCCCATCCTCCCAGTTCCACCTTCAATTTGTGATTAATTTACGAACTTTTTTGGTCCGGAAACCCTAGCTAGATGTGAAGCAGAATTTGGGGATGAAGGTTGAAGAAGAAGAAGAAGAATGAAGGACACAGTGTGGACTAATGGGTGTTTCGAGAGTGGATCTGAGGAACATATAGGCCACGCTACACCGACGCTGTTGCATAGCCAGCGAAGCTGCAATTTGTGACGTGTTGCTCTGTTACAATAGATTCTGCAAAGTAAAATTTTTGTTTTTTTTTTTGTTTTTATAAAATATAATAAAATTTCACTTTTTGGGTAGACTATTTCACTTATTTAATGTTTATTTAAATAAAATATAAAATAAAATTCTATTACATAAAATGTTGTGAAATCTTAAGATTAAAAAATTGCTTATTTACCAAAGTGATATACTTTAAAAAATTTATTAAAATATTTTAGTTTGAAAATTATATTGTTAAAATAATAATATTTGATCATTTTCAATTATGCGGATCCTACAAACATAATACGTGTCATTTATATAGTGATGGTATATGTCATGTTTATAGGATTTATATGATAAAAATAATATCACTATAATAAATAATTTTCAAATTATTATTTATTTATTTATTTTTCAAATTATGTTATTTTAATAATATTTTGAAAGTATATCGTTTTAGAAAATGTACATTCACATTGATCTCTTCTAATTTTAACTCTCTCTCTCTTTTTATAAGCACGGGAGATAATTTTTTTGTTTGGGACGGATTCAGATTAAGATTTTAAATCTCTTTCACAGATAATACTGGAGAGAACTGAACATATATTTTTACTCCACCTAATTAATTCTTACGTGTCAACTGAACTACCATCATTTGATAATAATTCTTAAACCAGTTACTCATCGACTCAACACTCTGTCGAGTCTGACTCAATTAATGACCGATGCAAATTTGATAAAACTGCAATGATCAGAATAAAACAATAAACTAGGGGATATTGAATATCTTTATGTGGCTTGTAATGAGAGTGAATTCCCTATTATGAAAAATGGTCACGTGGTTATGTTATTTGATCATAATCACTCAATGAAAAGTTATATATTTTTATCTCTCTTATCTCATCATCAATGAGTGATTACGATCAAATAATATGATCACATAATCACTTTTTTACATAAGAAGATCCACTCCCGACTTGTAATAGAGTACCTTCTTTTTCATCTAGTGTGTGCTACAATGCTAAAAGGGTGATCCAAATACATGCTATAATAAACCTAAAATTCAATTATCCAAATACTAAGAATGATTCAAATACATGCTATATGAACATGAAGTTTAATAACTATAATGCTAAGGATGATTAAAACGAACCCGAAATTCAATGATTTAAATACTTTTATTGCATGTTATAAAAAAAATTACTTTTGTTGCATAATGTGATTAATTAGGCCATTCTATATTAACTAATGATTAAAAAAATTATGGAGGATTGACATTTTCACATGTTAAAAAACCATTACTTACTTCCTCCGATGATGCTTTTGTCGTCTCCAATGGCGCGAGCATATGAGCCACCATTGTGAATCCAAGCAGCTGCCTTCATTGCCACCTTGCTTTTGTTGGCGACGTTGACAGTTAATCATGTTCTTTTCGGCTAGGTTTGAGAAGAGAAAATGTTGGAGGATTTTAGGTAGTTCCACGCAAATTTCAACTTTTATAAAACTAACTTTATAAATAATACTTTTATAAGTAACCTATTAAATAGGTTACTGGTAACATTTTTTAACCATTAATACAAAAGTCTTGTAAATCAACAATGTAGGGATTCAATTCATAATTTTTACAATATTTGATATACACTTTATAATTTAAAAAAAGAAATGATTTTCTCCTTTCACATGAAATAAGATTTGATTTCTACACATAAATCGATTTTCGTGCCAAATTTTTATTTTTATTTTAAATTGCCGGCTCCACTTTTTTGTTTCAGTAGGAGATAATTTTTCTCTTATGCTAAAGGAGAAAAGTATTTCCCTTTAAAAAATAGTAAAGTGAATCTCACAGTTAAAATTATTACCTATACCAGCACACTTTAAGTTAGAAAAGTGCATCTTAAACCTTACTCTGTTTTTTCCTTTATGTTTTAGCGAAATATATTTTTCATCGTTAAATTTGTCTTATGCAACACATAAAAAATAGGTGAGACCCATTTTTTTCTTTCTTCTTTTTAATAGATCTCATCCATTTTTATGTGTGTTAATGAGACAAATTATCTAATACAACATGAAAAATATATTCTTCTATATTTTATGTACCAAACCTTCCAACTAACAAGCTAATAGTTTGCAGTGGTCTCATAACCCAAGGGACCAATTTTTTTTTTTTAGTATACCAACTCTAATTACTTCTTCAAAAAAAGTCGCCACCAAAATTCCCACAAACTTTAATTACTAATACCGAGTATAGGCTTATTTAGTTAATTACTTTATAAAGTTTTAATTTTTTATAACAACAAAGTACGAGACACTTTTTATAACAACAGTAATAATTACTTTTATTTTATTTTAGTACAAAGGAAGGCTGAAGCCCAAAGGAAAAAAAAAACTAGAAATCAAGGAGTCTAGACTCCTGGATCAGTAGAGGACCCAGGCCAGAAGGAATATTCTGATAAACAACCATGTCTTCCCTTATGTTCAAAGGATTGCCCACAAGCCAGTCTGCGCACAAATTTCTTTCTCTGACAGGATGAACAAAATTAATCTGCCAATCCTTCTTGAACCACTCTCTAATTCTGTTAACTATGTAGGGAAGATATTATGAGTTACCATTGTTGTTGATGGCTTCAATGGCAAGAAAAGAGTCACTCTCTACCAAGGTATTCCTTACTCCAAAATTCCAAGCAAACTGTAAGCCCTTTAGAATGGCCCAAAGCTCGGCACACAGGATTGCAAATGCCAATCCTATAAAAGAAGCCAGCCAGCCACATCCCTTTGAGGTCACGGATCAGCCACCCACAGAAAGCAAGGCTCAAGTTATTATTCATCGCCCCATCCACATTCAATTTCCACCAACCAATGGGGGGCTTCCAATAAACCTGGTTAATGGTCCTGGTATCGATGGCCTGCATGCGAATACCCAACGCCAAATTGGTTTCACTGATGTATTCAGAAATGACAAGGATGAGGTTCGTTGGTGATAAACCTTTAGTTTATCTTGTTTAATGGACTAAAATAATATGAATTATCTAGTTGAACAAGTCAAAAATTAGGGTTTTAAAATGATAATCATGAACATTATTTGATTGTTGGAACTAATTAATATATTTGTTATTTTTAAAGGAATTTGATAACAAATGATTCAAATATGAAGATTTAGATAAAGAGAGATCAAATCAGAAAAGAAGATGAATCAAGGTGAAAACAATAAGATTGAAGATCTTATCAAGTTGTTAGAAGTGGGAGCTTAAGCCCCCATTCACAAGCTTAAGCGCCCAGACAAGTTCAACTTAGGCCCATTCAAGTTTTCTTTTGCAATACGAACTCTTGACCTATTTAAAACACCATTGGGGACCAGAAATACAAAACTTTTACATTGCTAAACAACTCTTGGGTGCTTGGAGGCTGAAGGAACGCGGAGGAACATCAGATTCATGTTCGTGAGCGGCGGAGACGGATCAACGTCAAGTGTTCATTGGAGATTTTGAAGATCCACCAATCACCTATGGAGTTTGGGGGAGCTTTTCTATTTTCTTTTGTTCTTGATTTTGCCATGTCCGGCTAGTTCTTTAAGTAGTTAGGGTTAGATGGATTTTAGTCGATTTATTATGCTTTGAATAATTCGTACGTTAATTTTCTTTTTTATCATGAATGAAGTTATCTGTTTTTAATGCTTTATATAGGCTTGAATCTTATATAATGATCATCGGTAAATGCATGACAATAGGAATGTTGGTGTGTGATCCATATCTGATAACTTCATCGTAAACGTTATGATTCTAGGGATAGACATAGGGTTTGCGTAATCTTTAAGATTCTTGAACTTAATGCTTGCATTCTTGGGGAATAACCGGGGAACTAGGGTTCTTTCAAGTTTGTAAAGATTTTAGGGTAACAAGGGATTGAGCTCTAATAACATGCGAAAGAATTGATTAGATTGATACTAAGGACAATTAACATTAAGAAGGAATTCAAACGTAATAAGGAGATTAAATGAAATCGAACCCCTAGCTACGTTTTTATTTTATTAGTTAAATCACATCTTTAATTTCTTGTCTTTAATTCTTGCAAGTAATTAGCTTAATATTTAATATTTTAATTTTGCAATTCAAATCCTGTTTCCAAATACACTTTCGATTGTCCAACTAAGTTTGCGATAGCGAATTAGTGCTTGAACCGTAATCCTCGTGGGAACGATCTCTTACTTAATCATATATTACTTGTACGATCGGTGCACTTGCCGTGAGTAGCAACAGTTGGCCTAGAGAAGATAAGCACATGAATTTCGTTATTTCTCCACAGTCATAGATGCCAAATTGTAGTAATAAAAATGTCATTCCACTTGAACACCTGATTGTGCCTCCACCCACCAAACAGGTTTTGACACAAACAAGACTTAGCATCCATGGAGAAAAAATCAGTAGGGATGTCATTCACAAACCAGCTCCTCCAAATAGTTTTGGCCTTTCTACAGTCCCTTAAAACATGAAGGATATCCTCCACCACATTAGTGCAGGCATGACAAAAATGTTCTCCCCCCATCTCGCCATCCTTTCCTTGGTGAGAATTTTGCCATGTTAGACTAGCCAAGCAAATGTACGCAGTCTAAACAGGCCAGGCCAACTCCATACTTCGTCCGAACTAAGCTTATCAAAACCCATGATGAAAACATAAGCCTTCTTCACAATTTGGCCATTGCTCATCTTATTCCTCTAAAGCAAATGGTCTTGTCCTTTATTTAGAAATTATTTTAAATATTATTTTAAATTTAAATCTGTTGAAAGATTTTGTCAAATTTTTATAAAATTATTAAATTGAATATAAAAACTCACAAAAAATATCAAATAATAAATAAATTTTGGCATGTAGGTTGTAACAACAAAAGGTAAGTAA